AATAGAGACTTACATGAGACCTGTATATGCAAGGTCTATTTATTTACGTATTTAATATTATTCAATGAGGTTGTATCCTTTTCTGAATAAAAGCTCTATAGATATCTTGTTAGATTTATTCCCACATACTTCCTATTTTTGATAATGTAAATAATAGCTTTAAATTCTTTTGCTTGTTTTTGACATATATAAGGACAATGAATTTTTTATTAATAACTTTATGTTGGGTGCCTGGGTGGCTCAGTTGGTTAAGCGACCGCCTTTGGCTCAGGTCATGATCCTGGAGTCCCGGGATCGAGTCCCATATCGGGCTCTCCGCTCAGCGGGGAGTTTGCTTCTCCTTCTCCCACTCCCCCCTCCTGTGCTCTCTCTCTCTCTCTCAAATAAATAAATAAAATCTTTAAAAAAATAACTTTATGTCCAGCATACTCACTAAACCGTTATCTCTATATGTTGTCTCTTTTCTTGTTTTTTTCCTTTACCTTCTTTTTGATTCACCAGGTATGTTTTTCTAATTTTACTTCTTCCCCTTTGCTAATTTAGAGGTTACACTGTTTCTATTCTTTTAAAGGTTGTTACAGAAGTTACAATATGCATATTTAAGTTATCAAAGTCCAAAGATAATCATCACCTTTCCATCTTTCCTAATGACTGAGGAACTTAGAACACTTTCATTCCCCACTACCACATTTCACACCCAGATTTATATGCTATATTTTTAAATTTTTTAATCCCACAAGACATTATATAGTCTTATACAATTTATATTTATTTAGATTTGTCCTCATTTTTACCATTTTCTGTGCTCTTCATATGTTTTTTTTGCATCTCAGACCTTGTATCTAAGATCACTTTTCTTTTGCCTTATGTATTTTTGCATTTTAATTTTAATTTTTTTAATTTTTAATTTTTTAAAGATTTTATTTATTTCACAGAGAGAGAGAGAGCACAAGTAGGCAGAGAGGCAGGCAGAGGGAGAGGGAGAAGCAGGCTCCCCGCTGAGCAGGGAGCCCAATGTGAGACTCAATCCCAGGACCCTGGGATCATGACCTGAGCTGAAGACAGATGCTTAACCCACTGAGCCACTAGGCACCTCTTAATTTTTAATTTTTAAAAAATTTTTATTTAAGCTCAATTTAATTAACATATACTGTGTTATTAGTTTCAGAGGTAGAATCCAATGACTCATCAGTTGCATACAACACCCAGTGCTCCTTACTTCAAGTGCCCTCCTTAATGCCCATCACCCAATTACCCCATCCCCCCACCCACCTCCCCTCCAGCAATCCTCAGTTTGTTTTCCACAGTTACAAGTCTCTTATAGTTTGCCTCCCTGTTTTCATCTGATTTTATTTTTCCTTCCTTTCCCCATGTTCATCTGTTTTGTTTCTTAAATCCCACATATGAGTAAAATCATACGGTATTTGTTTTTCTCTGACTTATTTTGCTTACCCTCTAGTTCCATCTACGTCATTGCAAATGACAAAATTTCATTCTTTTTGATGCCTGAGTAATATTCATATATATATATGATATAGGATATATATATATCACATCTTCCTTATCCATTCATCTATCAATGGACATTTGGGCTCTTTCCATATTTTGGCTTTGCATTTTTATTAGTGAGGGTCTGATGGTAACTTAGTCTGTCTGAAAATGTTTGTATTATAACCTTATTCTTGAAAGATATTTTTGCTGGATGGAGATTCTGGATTGACATTTACTCTCTCTCAGCACATTAAAGATATCATTTCATTGTATTCTGGTTTCAGGGTGTTGTTAATAATAAGTCAGTTACTCTTCCCTTTTTCTATAATTTGTCTAGCAACAACTTTTTCTTCTCTTTGCCTTTAGTGTTCTCTGATTTCACAAGAATGTGTCTAGATAGGGATTTTGTATTTATCCTTGAGATTATTTGGCTTGAGTGTGTGGGTTATTTTTCATTAGTTTTCAAAAATGCTCAATTATAAATCTTCAAATATTTCCTCTTCCCCATTCACTTTTCTAATTAGATGTACATGACATTTTATCACTTTATCCTCTATGATTCTTAGCCTGTCCTATTTTCTACATCTTCCTATCTTCTTTGTAATTGCCTTAGATTCATCATTTCTCTCTTCAAGGTGTCTGCTCTATTATTACATCCATTAATTGAGGTTTTTTTCACTCTATTTCATATTTAGAAGTTATATTTGGCTATTTTACTTTTCTTTTTTTAAGATTTTATTTATTTATTTATTTATTTATTTATTATTTATTTGAGAGGGGGGAGGGAGAGAGTTGGGGGGAGAGGCAGAGGGAGAGAATTGCAAGCAGATTCTGCACTGAGCACAGAGCCCAACACCGGGCTCAATCCCATGACCCTGAGATCATGACCTGAGCCGAAATCAAGGGTTGGATACTTAAATGACCGAGCCACCCAGGCACCCCTATATTTGGCTATTTTAAAAAATATGTTTTTTTAAAATAATTTCCTGTCTCATACTGATATTTTCAAGTTTGTCCTTTATTTCCTTAAGTGGAATAATTATAGTTAATTTCTAACTGTGTTTCATAATTTCAACACCTGAAGTCTATGGTGGCCTTTTCTGTTATCTCTGCTGGTTCTTGCTTATGCATTTTCTTGGTAGATTTAATTATTCCTACTATGAGATGTTCATTTTTTTGGAATTTTATTTGTGGAACTTCTTTGAGGACTAAAATAAAGTGGGTTTCTTCCAGAGACTATCTTAAGTCTTTTTTTTTAAAGATGTATTTATTTATTTGAGAGAGAGAGAGAAAGTGGGGGGAGGGGCAGAGGGAGAGAACCTTCAAGCAGACTCCCCACTGAATGCAGAGCCTGACGTGAGGCTTGATCCACTGACCCATGAGATCCTGAACTGAGCAGAAACCAAGAGTCAGACACTTAACCAACTAAACCACCCAGGTGCCCCAAAACTATCTTAAGTCTTAAGACTGCTTGAGATTTTTTTGGAATTCATATAAGGGCCAGCTTGTGGCTACAAATTCTTGGCCACCATATCCCTCCTTTACTCAAGCAGGTGAGACACTTGATTTTATTGTCAGTCCCCAGAGGTAGGGAGAAACAAACTGCTTCTAGGTCATCCTGATATTAAGGAATTGGCAAGTGAGGGCCAGTAAGCCATATCCGGCTCATCACCCATTTTAGTAAATAAAATCTCATTGGAACATAGCCACACCCATTTACATATTGTTGATCACTGCTTTAGAATTACAACAGAGTTGAGTAGTTTTGACAAAGACCATATAGCCCACAAAGCCTAAAATATTTACCATCTGACCCTTTACAAAAAAGAGTTTACTAACCCCTGGTATAGTCCACTGGGGTTCCAGCTTTATGGAGTTAACTCCTATAGAACTCCCCAAATTAAGCTGTCTCCAGTCTCCTAAATCCTGTGAGGCAGTGGAAACCAAAACTGAAGTTCACTAAGTTTGACTAATACTAGCTAATGAAAACTAGCTACAACGCTCTGCTTAACTCTCTAATTTCCTGACTACATTCAATGCCTATTCTGAAAATGTCTATATTAAGAGCATATCAAGGGGATTAAGTCGGAGGGGGAGACGAACCATGAAAGACGATGGACTCTGAAAAACAAACTGAGGGTTCTAGAGGGGAGGAGGGTGGGGGGATGGGTTAGCATGGTGATGGGTATTAAAGAGGGCACATTCTGCGTGGAGCACTGGGTGTTATGCACAAACAATGAATCATGGAACACTACATCAAGAACTAATGATGTAATGTATGGTGATTAACATAACAATAAAAAATTTTTTAAAAAGAGCATATCAATTCTTTAAGGATTGATAACTTCTTCCTTTCATATTTTATGCAGGAGTTTTGTTATTTACAGCAAAAAGATTGGTCCAGGTATTTATTCTGCCACATTACTAGAAAGTAAAGGCTGAATGATTTTTAGAAGTATTTTAATACAGTAGGAGCTCCTTTAACCTGACTCCACTGAACTGATTCAGTAAATTAACTGATATAAAACATAATGATATCTAAGGCAACTGAATACTCTCAATTAGTAGACTTTCATATGGGAGGTCTATGTACTTCTGCTCATTGGTTGTTGCATATCAAGAATTAGTCATGTTTATATCCAAATGTATTTATGCCAATTATATCTATTAGTTATATAATATGACGTAAGTCACTAAAATACAAGTGTAAAAGAAATGCATAGTAAAGATAACCAGTATATTCAGGATTGAGACATGAATAGATGTAACACAGAACATATCAACTAAATTAGTAATGTTTTGTTTTTTTTTGCTGGGTGTTGGATACATTGATGTTTATTATACTTAAACTCTTTTTCTATGTCAAGCATTTCATAATTAATTTTTTAATGATTATTTCTTTTTTTAAGATTTTATTTATTTATTTGAGAGAGAGACACAGAGAGCATGAGCAGGGGGAGGGACAGAGGAAGAGGGAGAAGCAGACTCCCCACTGAGTGAGGAGCCCAACGTGGGACTCAATCCCAGGACCCTGAGATCATGACCTGAGCTGAAATCAGAAGCTTAACCGACTGAGCCACCCAGGGGCCCCTATAATCCCCCTGCTTGTGCTCTCTCTCTCTCTCAAATAAATAAAATCTTTTTTAAAAATGATTAAAAAAATAAAAATTAACCTTTTAAACTGTATGTCCTAATAAGAGTGGTGCTATTTTTAATTTTATATTTATGAATACCAGTTTGGTAAAATTCATTACTCTTTTTTAAAGCTCTGAAAAGAACTCTTTAAAATTAACCTAAGGACACCTGGGTGGCTCGGTTGTTAGGCGTCTGCCTTCGGCTCGGGTCATGATCCCAGGGTCCTGGGATCGAGCCCCACGTCGGGCTCCCTGTTCAGCGGGAGGCCTGCTTCTCCCTCTCCCACTCCCCCTGCTTGTGCTCCCTCTCTCACTGTGTCTCTTTCTGTCAAATAAATAAAATATTTTTAAAATAATTAATTAATTAAAATTAACCTTTTCCAGAGGTAATCTTTGAAGTATTAAAGAAAAGACTGCCATGCTGAAGATCCATCATTTCTCCCTTCAATTTGTCCACTGCAACATCAACGAGGGCGAGTTCATCTGCCAAATCCTAAAATACATGAAAGTTTTGAATAACATGTTCTGAAGAATGTTCCTATTTCAGTTTTAGAAAAATGAGAAAAATTCATGTATGGCTACTTTATAATCAAAGTATAGTTATATTTTAATAGAAAAAATAATATAAAAGTGATAGTTGGTGAATGTGCCCAGAGTGACCAGAAGTCAAGGTAAGCAACAGAATGTAGCAAAAATTACTAATTGCTTTGCCTTCATATAATTATTCGATTTTTTAGAAGTGGCTTTTTTTCCACGTCAGATAATAATTTAAAAATGATGAAAAGCTACTAAGTTCTTTCAAAGGATTTTATTACATTTAACCTTTATGCCTAATTTCTGAATTGGCTGAAGTTGTTTTTGGTATGCATCCTTGTGGCCAAAATAGAAAGGTGGCCTGCTGTGAGAACCCATTTCAGGCACAGTACATTTAACATTGGATCTCCAACCTAGGGGTAGATGGGCATATAACCAGACCATAGCTCCCAGTCAGCCACACAATCATGAGGGTAAACAACATACACTTAACAACCATTCTGTTTTTTACCTTCAGTACCATATTCAATAAATTTAATGAGATATTCAACACTTGATTATAAAATAAGCTTTGTGTTTCATGGTTTTGCCCAACTGTAAGCTAATGTAGTTCTGAACATGTTTAAGGTAGGCTAGGCTAAGCTATGATTAAATACATTTATTATTAAATACATTAATAATTACATCTTAAATACATTTTCAACTTAGGATATTTTCAACTTATGATGAGTTTATTGGGATGTAAGATCATCATAAATCCAGGAAAATCTGTATAGTCTCTTTTTTGCTTACTCTAATTTGAATTGAGTTTACCAAATGAAACAGAATACAGAACTATATAGAAGGAGTGTTTTCCCTCAGATTCCAGTGGCCAGATTCTAAAGATGAGAAGTAAGGGAAAGGGATCAAAGTCCCTATTTGCTACCGTTTTTTCTCAGATCAGATACCATCTGACCTTTCTGGAAAACTGTAGATTCTAAAATGTATTAAATTATGTGTTATATATCAGGAATATGAGGAAGATAAGGAGTTTCACCCAGAAGGATCACATATCACTTCTAAGCTAACTGATAAGGAAACCAGATCATGTTTATGGATCCATTTTTATATTAGTCTATGTATCTGTCTGGGTCTGAACAGGAGAACAGAAACCACTCTAAGCATTTCAACAGAAGGTATTTAATATAGGGAACTGGTTAGACAGCTGTTGGAGGCCTGAAAGGACAAAAAGGGAACATTTGAGGTAACCCAGATATAGAAATCACAGTTTGAAGCCACTACCCCTAAGACTGAGGGAACAAAGACAGAGACTAAAAGAGGTGCTTATGGAGCCAGGCTCAGACCTCTGTAAGAAGCAAAACCTGGCTGCTACTGATACCACTGAAGGGGCAAAATGAGGCTGGGAGCTCCAAAAGAAACCGGAAGCTAGAACCAACAGCTACCACTGAAGCAAAGGGCTGCAGCTGAGACGAAAGTAACCAAAACAAGCAAACAGAAAGGAGGTCATTTCTCCACTCCTGCATTCCAACTTCCTTCTAGTGCTCCCTATTGGCAGAATCTAACAAGATGCCAACTGATAAAGGAGAAAAAGATTATGCAGAGATCGAGCACCAGCACCACAAATACAGAAAGTTGGATTTGCAGCTGAATGACAATAATAGCGAACACAGCCTGCTTTTTAAATTATATTTCCAACTTGAATTATGTCTCTTCTTTTTTTGTTAAAGATTTTATTTATTTATTCATGAGAGACAGAGGCAGAGGGAGAAGCAGGCTCCCCGTGGAGCAGAGAGCCTGATGTCGGACTCAATCCCAGGACCCTGGGATCATGACCTGAGCCGAAGGTAGACGCTTAACCGACTGAGCCACCCAGGCGTCCCGGATTATATCTCTTCTTAACAAGTTACCAGAAAATTCTCTTTTCAAGGCAATCTTCCCAGCTCTGTTTATCTTTTTTTTTTTTTTAATTTTATTTATTTGACAAAGAGAGAGAGCACAAGCAGGGTGGATGGCAGGCTGAGGGAGAGAGAGAAGCGGCTCCATGCTGAGCAGAGTCCGATGTGGGACTCAATCCCTGGACCCCGGGATCATCACCCAAGCCAAAGGCAGATGCTCAACGGCCTGAGCCACCCACGCATCCCCCAGCTCTGTTTGTCTTGACTGCCAAAGACAGAACTCATATAATCCCAGAAGTTTTTGTTTTCTAAGAATTAACTATATCTAGGAGTCATTTCTCAAAAAGAATTCCAAATAGAGAGCCTGGGTTTATTTAACCTGCCAGAATCTTTTAAGAATAGTTATGAGCGAGGTGCTTAGTTGGCACAGTCAGTTAAGCAACTGACTCTTGGTTTTGGCCCAGGTCGTGATCTCAGGGTCATGGGATCGTGCCCCGCATTGGGCTCCATGTTCAGCACGGAGTCTGCTTAAGACTCTCTCTCCCTCTCCTTCTGCCCTCCACCCCACTTTCTCTGTCTCTCAAATAAATAAATAAATAAATCTTTAAAAAAAAAAAAAAAGAAGGGGCGCCTGGGTGGCTTAGTCGTTAAGCATCTGCCTTCGGCTCAGGTCATGATCCTGGGGTCCTGGGATCAAGCCCCACATCGGGCTCCCTGCTTGGCGGGAAGCCTGCTTCTCCCTCTCCTACTCCCCCTGCTTGTGTTCCCTCTCTCGCTGTGTCTCTCACTGTCAAATAAATAAATAAAAAATCTTAAAAAAATAGTTATGATCATTCCAGGATCTCTTCTCCAGGGAGTTCTAGAATAACCAAAGTAAGGTAAGAGAAGAGTAGAGTTAAGAGAAAAGAGAATTAAAATTAATCTAAGGAAAACTGCTAGGACCACTATATTCTGTACAGCAGAAGGAAGTAGGACATACTGCTATGCTTTAAAGTCCACCTTTCAATGATATATGCAGGTGTTATAGTACTTATTAGAGCCTATATGTTCCTTGAAGTTAATAAACTATATAAATATGCATATTTTAATATCCTTCATCACTTTCCATTTATCCCACAATGCACATCTATGGGAACTGGGTATTTACCAGTTAAATTACTGGGTATTTACTTAGTATTTACTAAGGATTCTAGTAGGAAATAAATGGGCTCCAACAACTGACCTTCTCTCACAACTGGAGTTCTGAAATTTCATTATAATATGCCTTGGAGGAAGCTTTTTTTGATTCATCATGCTGAGCACTCAATAAATTCTTTAAATTTTTATTTTTAAGTAATCTCCACACCCAATGTGGGGTTCAAACTCACAACCCCAAGATCAAGAGTCACACACTCCACTGACTGAGCCAGCCAGGTGCCCCCTTCAATAAATTCTTTTTTTTCCCCAATAAATTCTTTATATCTGCAAACTCACATCCTTCAATTTTAGACTTTTTCTTTTATCTCTTGAATAATTTTCTTCCCTTTCTTTTTTCTTACTGAAATGTCAATGAGTAATGGGACCTCCTGACTGGTCCTCTAATTTCATTTCTTTTCTATATTCCATCTTTGACAATCTGCTTTCTAGCAGCCCAGTGGAAGTCAAAGGGTTCCTGCTTCACTGTCCAACCTGTAGACCTTCAACTAATCCTACTGCTTTCAATAAGATGCCTGTCTTTACTGTCCTTAATGTCTTGAGTGCAGAACCTGCCTGATTCAATTTCTCCAAAGAATATACTCCTTCCCCTTGCCTGCTGAGATGTGAGAGGTGGTTTCTTGGTTGAGTAAGGTGCAGAAGAGAATCTGGTGTTTTTCCTTCTGATCATATAAACTTTGAACCAATTTTCCTGTGTTTGTCCCATCCCTTACCACCATTTTGTGAGGCAGTTGGTACTTCTAATTCCCGAGCCTTTCTTGGGGTTCTGGAATTTAATTGGCTTTGCTTCTTCTCACCTTCCTCTGCCAGTTTTAAAAAAAATTATCTAAATAATATAGTAAAGCTTTTCAGAACACAACAGGATCTATGTCCAGATTGCCAAGGTTTGAATTTGAACCACTTCACCTATACTAGCCACTTGACCATGGGCAAGTTACTTAATATCTATGCTTCAGTATTCTCATTTATAAATGGGGACGATAACTGTACCTATCTCCCAAGGTTGTTATAAAGATTAAATAATATCTTTAAAACATTTTAAAAAGCAAAAGGCTTGGGTTTTTTGTTTATTTGTTTTTTGTTTTAGATTTTGAGAGAGAGATAGAGAGAGCACAGGCAGGGGGAAGGGCAAAGGGAGAGGAAGAAGCAGACTCCCCAGTGAGCAGGAAGCCTGATGCGGGGCTCAATCCCAGGACCCTGAGATCATGACCTGAGCCAAAAGCAGATACCTAACCGACTGAGCCACCCAGGTGCCCCGAGAAGCAAAAGGCTTGTACATTGAAAACTACAAACGTTGCTGAAACAAATTAAAGAAGATACAAATAAGTGGAAAGACATCACATGATCATGGATTGGAATACCTAATATTGTTAAGATGTCAACATACCCAAAACCATCTACAGATTTATTTTTTTTTAAGATTTTATTTATTTATTTGAGAGAGAGAATGAGTGAGAGCACGAGAGGGAAGAGGGTCAGAGGGAGAGGCAGACTCCCCGCTGAGCAGGGAGCCCGATGCGGGACTCGATCCCGGGACTCCAG